AGTTTCATTCTAACACAAAGCTGTGTTCCGTTATTAAAGTAATTTAAATATTGCGCCAAAGAAAGACAAATTCAACCAGGTAAAAAAAAATATACATGACTTCTACAATTACAGACCTACAAAAGTGACAACTTTTAAAAAAGCAGTCTGTGCCAGTGACTCCAAGCCATCGTTTTTCTTGCCCCTGATCACCACCGTATTCGCCTGCTCAGGGTTCATCCAGAGGGAGAGAGAAATCTTGAAATTTTGGAGAGTCGGACCTCAAACCAAACCAGCGGACTCCCATGCACCGTGCGCCTCCAACTCTCTCTCACTGCAGCAGGGCGCATTGTGGACCCCGGATTTCAAGGCCCAGAGCGCCCCCTTTCTGTCACACATTCTCTTATATACAGACACACACACGCACTCTCTCTCTCTCTCTCTCTCTCTCTCTCTCTCTCTCTCTCTCTCTCTCTCTCTCTCTTTGCCAGACCCCTCTGGGATACGGTCATGTCAAGAGACCACTCGATCTTCCAGTATTCATCTCAATACTGTGTTGACAAGCCACAGTCCCCATAACCTGCTTTCAGGGCTACAGGCACCTGTAGCCTGCTGTCGTCTCTTATCTTTGTGTCAACAGATCAAACTCTTCCACTTAGTGTTAGACAGAGCAGCCACTTTCCTCCAAACTCTGAACTTACAGACCAATTATGAGACGAGACATTGAACCTCTTTCTTTTGCTGGTTCCTTGGTCAGGAAATGCCTTTTATACAAATATAATGCTTCGCAGAGCCTTCAGATATGTTTAAATAAAGAAAAAAAGACAAACCAGAGTAAACAAACAAGTCAGGCTGTGTAACATTTATTTGATTAGGGTTGATTTGGAACAGTTAAGCCATTATTCAATTCTGTGTGGAGCCATTTGGATGCAGAAAAAACCCTTTACGCCTATAAAACACTAGTTGGTTATAGCAGCAGAAATAAGATATTCTTTGATACAAGTCAGAATAGCCTCATTCTTACATAAACTTGTGAAGTTAAGAGCGTAATTGTGCGTAAATGTGCTCTTTACCTGTAGGGTTAAAGAGTGAAAATAAAGTACCATATTGACTTATAAAAAAAAGAAGAAAAAATATATTCTTCCTGCAAAGTGAGACATTCAGTCTGTTTTTTTTTTTTGTTTTTTTTTTTTGCTAAATGAGCAAACCGGTCCCCTCTCGCTTTCTTCTCAGGCCGAGCCGGTCGGTGGGGCTCTGGCCCTGCGCGCACCGGTAACCAAGAGAACGACATAAGAGCTGCAAAGCACGCGCCCCGGAGCGCCGGTAGCCCCCGGTAGCCCCTCGCACCAATAACCCCGGACAGCGCGAGGCTTCCAGCAAACAGAGACAGAGAAAAGAGAGGACATAAAGGAGAGACCAGAGAAATATGTGAGTACTGTAAATCAGGCCTGAGTGGGAGACTGTCAGAAGTGCCTGCGTGCGCGGCTGTGCGCGCGTAGACCTGAGTGTGTGTGTGAGAAAGAGAAAGAGAAAGGTAAAATCAGCAAGTTACTCCAACTCAGCAAGTTGGACGTTTCTTATGATTAATGGTATGGATAGCCCAAAGCCTTTAGCAGCTGCAGAATACAGAATCTGCGTTGGAATCAGGTGTCTAAGAAATATTTCACAGAGGGTTAAGGTCAGAAATTTGATGTGGCTTTATGGTGAATGGCTAAGGTGTTTTTCCGGCGATCAGTGCTGGCCGTGTCCTCACAGTGGACAGTAAGACTGCTGACATTTGTCACTGGTCACCAGTCAGGCGACAGGTTAGACTATATACATTCTGACTGTTTGGAAAACAGCTATCACCTTTTTATTTTTATTTTTTAGCTTTAATCCTAAAAAGCAAACAATGGTTCATCACATTGCTGCATAGGCTTAATTTATCAACAATATACTGTAGTACTTATGGACCTCGCATCAATAACATGGCATATGCCAATAACACACTCAAACACACCATGTGCATCTTATAAATCACTTATTAAAAGCACAAACCCCCTCCAAAAAAACCCTTCATGATAAAGCAAAAAAAACCCCCAAAAACAACAACAACCCACATGGCATGAAATCAAAGAGCTTTAACTCTCACTCAGCTCCTGTCTGAATGTAGGTTAGACTATTCTCCACTCAGACCATTAGTGCGTCTGACTCCACTATTCATTGTGTGAGTGAGAGGCATCTCATTTCCATGACAACCAGAAAGGATATGATACCTTCCCAGCGCAAATTAAATTCGAATTCAGCTTCATTTGCTCACGGAGACACACACACACACACACACACACACACACACACACACACACACGGGCAGACAGTATGAGCAGCTGTACGCGCGATAGAGCCTGACAATATCAACAGGTTGGACGCACAAAGTTGGAAAGAGCAGACGCTTATAGTAACATTACTATAAGAGTATACAATCCACACGACAATAGGATTTAGGTGACAGTATGGACACGACTGAGGGTTAATATGTCCTGGTTGTGAATGGCAAACTAACAATACGGAAGAATATCTGGCACTCATTCATTCACAGTTTACTTACCGGTTTGCTGTAGCGGTTCCGTCTTTACATGTGGTAATAACCTCGTATGAAGTATCCTATTTCCATCCAGAATAATCACCAAGAGTCGACGTAATGAGGAGAAAAATGTTAGACAAACCTCTTAGTAATACCTATCGCAGAGGCACAGGATGCATCGGCAACAACAACAATAATAAAAAAAACTTTCTTCTTCTTACTTTTTTCTTTCTTTCTCTAAAGTACACAAAAAGTAGAAAATTAAAAAAAAAAGAAAATTAAAAATTAAAAAATTAAAAACTCCCGGGTGTAAGGAGTGTGTCAGTGTCCGTCTCCCCGCGAGCTGAGCGTGTCAGTGCTGATAGGGTGCTTTGCAAAGTGTGCGCGGGTTTTGTTTATGTGCGCCGTCTGACGGGAGAAAGTCAAATAGTGCATTTATGTGGGCTCTGCCTCCACATAGAACCGCTGGTATGCGCTACGTCAATGTGACGCCATGGGAGAGATGACGTCACTCAAAGTAGAGCTCCCTCGCTCTCTCTCTCTCCTACAGTAAGCCCCGCGCGCCGTGCCAGAGAGAGAGAGAGAGAGAGAGAGAGAGAGAGAGAGAGAGAGAGAGAGAGAGAGAGAGGGGTGGAGAGAGGATCAGAGAGACGGTTGGTTTGATGGTTGCAGGAGAGGAAGCGGAGGGAGATCCGGCGGGCGAGGTTGCGCCGTGGCAGATAGCCCACACCTTGGGCTCTGTAGTCCAGATTTTATTCTTTTATCATGGCGGATACATTTAAAAGTTTATGTTATTATTTTTAAAAAATAGCTTGAAAAAAAACTACTAATATAAATTAACTTTCAGTCAAGACTTGTCAAATCAAATAACTTTAAAGCCAAATTGCATTACCATCAGCTTTTTTAATGATAAATATACCAATATAAGAGATGAAAAGCAACATTTACCCAGGAAGGCTACTGTATTATACAACTTTGAGGTAGTTTACTGAGTATTTCCACTACTCTACTTCTTCTTTTCTACATTTTAGAGACACATTATGCACTTCTATTTTATTCCACTGCTTTTATAAAACACCCTACAGTTATTTGTTAGTTTGCAGATTCAGATTTATAGCCTATATCTTATAAAATATGGTATACTTTATAAAATGCAATGTATAAAGCAGTAAGAATCAGCTCCATCTTGTTCAGCTACAACCTTAAAATGCTGCTTCCATGTTACTAAATCAATAAAAAAACTTTAAAGGGGCCATTTTGTATAATGAGTAATTTTACTTTTAGCATATTTGCTGATACTTCTGTAGTTTGCAGGACTTTTTAAATGTAATGTAGTATTTTGACATTGCGATATTACCACTTTTACTGCTTCTATTTAAGCTAATTACCTGTTTATGTGACTAAATGTATAAAATGCCACCTCATGCTTCCTGGGACACATGAGCCTGTGTGTGCAGACAGTCAATATAGACTCTGTGCCTTAAGGTCTTAATAAATTTGTCGTGTCATTTTGTCATGACACAGACCATCGAAAGGCACTGTCAATTTAAATCAAGTGACAGGATATCTGAGGTTTTTCCTTTTTGGGTATTATTCTTTAACTCAAGTTATTTAAAATCACCATCCTTACGAGTCATTTAGTCCATTATAAGGTCCTAAAATGTTATTGTGTTAAGTGACATGATCCAATTAGATGATTTCACCCCCTTTTCCCCAATACAAATCAACTTATTTCAGCAATCTCCATAAATGAGAGCTGGCAGTGTCCAGCCTAATTCTGTCAAGACACTGACACACAAAGAAAAGTCCTGATATAAGGGTAATGGGCTTATATTATACTATTAGAATATACTATAAGAATTACATTTTTAATCTAACAAAATGCACCTTGACGGCAGAAAATGAAACTACCAGACTTGTAAACATGCTTGTTTTTCTTAATCATAACACTTTATTTGCTTAACCTATCTTTAGTCTTGTATAAACTGCTGTCTGTTGCCTTAGCAAGTCCAACCACATGAAGAAAACGTGACCAAAGTTTATTTGACTCTATTTCAACTCACTTTAAACCTTTATTAAGCTTTTTATAAGTGCAGATAAATTAGCCAAAAGTGAAGAAATACAGCCACCGACCAGATAAGGCAGGCTCTGCCGGTCCACAGGACCAGGACGTCTTAACATACTCGACAACCACAGAATTAAAAAAGTGCCTCCGGAGCCCGCTGTGAACAATAATTCCCAACAGCCAATCAGGAGGCGCGTATTCTTCAGTCAACGTCCTAATTTTGACCAATGATGAGCTCCGGGGGGCGGGGGAAGCCTTGACGCACTGAGGCTCGTGATTGACGCAAGCCTTGTTACTAAATTTAGCACCTGGCGAGATAGCAGAGCCCATTCATTGTACCGGGGCGGGCCCGACTATTTTAGCGTTGTGATTGTGATCCAGCCAAGCCAAATATAGTCGTAGACAGGTATTTTTAGCAGTAAAGCGCGTCCCCGTTTTCATTCGGCATAGGCGACCCGGGCCATACAGTTTGCTCCAAAATCAGCACACTCAGTGTTAACCTGCAAAACAGTAAGGGGGGGGATAGTTTTACAGTCAGCTGATATTACCATCGTACCCAGAGACAAACAACTGTAGGAGCTGTCGAGAGTAAATCTCACTGCCACAGGTTTCCCTCTCCCTCTCTATCTCTATCTCTCTCTACCCGGGGACAAGGTTGGAAAAGCGGGGGATGAAAAGACTGTACACTCGAAGATAAATAGCCTTCGGTTCGTCAAACAGAAACGTAAACAGGTTTGTGAATGTGAAGGCTTGCAGTTTCTCACCGCAGCGCTGCTTCTTCCTCACCAGCTGAGCACAAACTTTTATTTAGATTTTTTTGTATCTGAGAGGACCGGCGGAAGAAAGGGGGGAGAGCACTGTAGTCGAGCTACACCGCTGCCCCAGGGCGAAACGTTGTAGGCTAAAGGTATTTTAATAATGGAAAAACAGCCGTGAAAGTCCAGTGCGCACACTTTACGCACCCCGTCTGCCCGGGGAAATCCCTCTCCTGTGTTACACCTTGGAACAGATGCTCTCTGACCTGCAAGGAAGACATACATTTGCTTTTGCATGTGTGCATATATATATATAGTTATTTAAAGCCCTGTTTGTCCACCAAAACAAAATGACCCAGATTATCACATTCAAGTACGCAGTGAAATGTGCTGAGGATCCAACATTCCAGTCAAGTTTGTTTGTAACATGCTTGAAGAGTGACTGCTGATTAATGTGGTCACTCCCACAGTGCCAGGATCAGCTGCAGGGCGTGCAGATCACGTGCAGCCAGGCCTCAGACTACCAGGGGCCCCAAGAAGGATTTGACATTAAATTGCATCATGAATTTATAATCTAATTGTATTTCTCAATCCACACACGCACACAATTCACACTTGTTGTCAACAGTTGTGAATAGTTTGTATTGTTTTCTTCCGTCTGATGGCTGGTGAACACGTTTGCTTGCACGGTGCAGGTGCATAAACTGAGTTCACGGATGTTGTTCCTCACATGTTCTGGTTCTCAAGTGGCATCTTCTTGTGATCATTTTTTATTAATTAGCCTATAAGTCAACCTGACTCCACACTCATGGGTTTTTTTTTTTTTAGGCCAAAACATATCCTATAGGCATAGATCACAAGTTGTTCTGCATGTCCTGTGCTGTTCTCCCACTTGTCATAATTGTAAACCCTTATAAATGGATCATTTGTTTTATAAAAGGGAGCCTTTATAATTATCATTGTGAAATATTGCTCATCAGCACAAGTACTAATGCATGTCAATACCTTTGTTGTTCATGTTCGCTTTCTGAATACGCATGCTTCAGTGTAGGGGAAGTTTTTTGTGAATGGATCATTTATCTTATAAATGCCTTTATTCATTCATCACATTCATTGTTTGTCTCCTCTCTTCTCCTTGTATTTTTGTTCCACCTGGTCTTTCTCTCCCGCTCTTCCTGGCTGGTCAGGGTATCAGCTGCCTCGGTTGTGACCTCACCATGGTGACGCGTAATCCAGATTAACCTGCTCTCTTATTCCGCCAGACATGGAAGTGATTAGAGATTATGACCGTGTCCTTTTAATAGAATTGGACGTGTGGGTAATCAACTGCGTCCACCAGCGTTGCGTGTCAGGTGACTCACTAACACATACACAGTCACACACACACACAAGCACAAGCACTTGTTTTTGTCACCAAGGAGGACATTTACGTTCATTTCCTCAGAGACTTGCTCTAATCCATAACAAAAACATGCTTAACATCAAACTTCAAATCCAATTCTAACCAAAAAAACAACTCATGAACCCTAAAATCTTCTTGTAGGGTCTCTTGTCTTCAAATGAGAAGTGAAACCTCTCCTCATGAGGTGACTGTATAATATTTGAGCCCTTTTATGACGGTATCCAAATTCTGAAGAAGATCTGCAACTTACTGTTAATTTTATGATGTTATATATCAGTACATTTCCTCTTTGCATGTTGGCTGAAAAACAAACACTTCCTTACTTCATCAGGAACTTGTGCATCAGCCAGCTGAAGTGAGAAAAAATGAATACTAGAAATGTAAAAGATAACTCGTCAACACAAACTGCGTTACTGGAAGAGCTTGTATAAAAAGCTGAAATACTTTTCTGGAATAAAGTGCATCCTGTGTCTCTCTGTGAAGTTAGTGCCCCTGAGAATTCATCTCTTTTTACTTCGATCTTTAAGGACACCTACGTCCTTAAAGGTTACATTTCTCCCCCAGCTTCATTCTTCCGTTCCTGCCTTATGCTGTGACAGAGCAGAATTAGAGAGGCCGTATTTCTTCATATACTCTGGCAACATGAGCAGGAAAAAGGGAGTTTAGTTTTGTTAACCAACATTACCAGCGCACAAGTAAAAAAATCTATTTATCAAACACTTTGTTTTCTGTGTCCTCTATCCTTGCCCTCGTACTCAATGCCATTCATGTGATATTCCTTTTAGCCTGTTGCTTTTATTCTTCTACCGTGCAGTTTTACAAATAAGGAAATGTAACCTGTGTAAACTGTAGAAGAGGTCAATCCATCCCCATTCTCTCTGACATTGACACTGCTTGCTTTTTTAGCAGGGTAAAGTTCATACTGACCAATGGTGGCCAATTTGTGCCAGACAGCAAAAACAACTTGAATGAATGACGAGTGAATTTTGGTATCACTTATTTTCTGCTGGGCAAATTGAATTTTACAAATCAAATCAATTCTTTTTGTTCTTCTTTTTCTTCCTGCGTCTAAAACTAATTATTCGGCAATAAAGAACTGCACTGACAGGTTGAATGTCTGCTGCCTCTGTACTGAACTGTGAAACCACTGCAGGCTTGTCAGTGTCGTCAGATTTATGACGGAGGAAGTTGGGTCGTTTGCATAAAAAGTGCTCCGCTGCCTGTCGTAGTCGTTAATGTGCAGTTGTATTACTTACTGTGGTCTAGCATCTTTAGACCTCCTGCACAGAGCTGCTTCCTATATGGTGGGCATATTGCACCGAGACACTCTGGCTTATCACAAAGCAGAAAGTGAAAAGTGATTGTGTCAGTTTGAATGAGCTCTCTATGTCTACGGCCAAGGCACCAGCACTCAGCGCTCTGGTGACACTGGAGAAAGAGGAAAGCAGAGAAAGAGAGAAACAGAGGAAGGCTTTTATCTTCGTGTCACCAAATCTGCTCCAACTGTACGTCAGAGTGCAAGCGAGGACGGGAAGGGGCGGGGGTGCGGGGGAGAGGATTGCTGGCGCAATGGCAGGGTGCTCAATGGTAGCATTCTTCCCTTTCTGTGGACACATACACACACACATGCAGACAACACAACACACCAGGGGGATTCCCCCCCCGGGAGTACCCAAGTGAAGTAATACAACCCATCACTGCCTTATCACACCAGTGCCCAAAGACAGGAGAGAGGAGTGTAGAGAAGTGTTTCCATGAGCCACGACACAGGAGGTGTACTGTATATCACTCAGGGATTGTGGGCCATTATATGATGCTATCGTGATGTGTTTTTGCACTTTTTTAAAAAACATTTGTGTGTGTCTCGAAAGAGGGAGAGAAGGGTAATGCGCAGCAGCTTGTGCGTAATGTTGTGTAGTTTCCCTCGTTTGTTTGATGGCAGATTTATCACCTCTCTGATTATCACCCTGCAATGAAATTTGACAGCATGATTCACTAGTTGCTTTGTGTACATTTTGAAAGGGTGTATGAGTAAAATCCATCCCCATGTTTGGCTCCCTTTGTGTGTGCATTTATCTGTGTTCTTCTGTGCATGTGTTGATGTATGTGTACAGTAGTGGCGGTTTGTATCTTCAGGCATGGAGCATTATTGTTATACTTGTGCAGGCGAATGTGTGTTGTGTGAGTGGGGTAATTTGTATGGTTACAAAGAAATGTATATATTAAAGCTTCTGCATTTTTGCCACCCATTTTGCATGTGTAGAGTCAGGGTTAATTGAGAAGGAGGCTTATCCTGACAGTAGTGAGGGGTCAACGGGTGCATTGTCCCTCAGTATGTGATGTGACTCTCCTTACATCAGAAAGAGGCAGGTATACAACCCTCCCTTGCACGTATACTTACACTGTTGCGAGCAGCAGGTGCGTGTCAGGCAGGATCCAGCATGCTACAACTCATGATAGATACCTTCTTAAGTACCTTCTTAACTATTTCACTGATGCCGTCCCCCAGCAGGAATCTTCTGTGCTTGGCCTTGAGCCACAAAAACCAATTGTCCAATTTATATTAGTGAGTGCATTTTTAAAACATTGGAGTTTAGAGGTGGAATGGAATATAATGATATTTGAATCATCAGGTTTTGTGACATAATTTTACTGATAATCCCTGAAACTGGCTTGGCTGTTATTGTGAGTATTGAAAGTTTGTCTACACCCTTCACGCTTGGGTTTGTTGCAAGATATCTCCCATTATTGCCAGTTGCAGACAGTATTCAACCAAACAAGTAACTGAAGTGGTGCATGTTTAATGAGACAGTGCAGCAACAGGAGATCAGTAATTAAAAGTAAGACTTGTATTGTGGAGTTTGGACCATTGATGGATGGGCTTATCAGTCATGTCCTTTACACACAGATCAAACAGGCTCTGAACAACAAGGATTGCATGTGTGTGATGGTGCACTCAAGATGTGCAACTGTTGAAAGGTTTCTAATTCACACCCTGGTGTTACTGATGGAGAAGATCTACAGAGGTCAAATGTCATTTGTCATTACCTTAAAGCCCCCCTAAACTCAGAGATGTGTTTTTCTTGTAACTCTAAGGTCGCAGAATGAAGTGTGTGCAGAGATTGACACTAGAGGGGAAAGTTTCTCTGTGCACACCTTAAATTTGAGTTCAAGACGTGTACAAACAGGCATGATTTTGTGGCGTGTTAACTCATTTTTAAGCTGATCCAATATGCATTTTTATATTTCCTAAAACATGTCTGGATTCTAATTTAAACCTATGATGCTTGTGGTTTCCTTCTCGAACCTAGCTTTGTGTGCCACACACAGTAGTTTGCCAGGAAGAAAGTCACACAAAAAGCCCTGAAGACATTGAACCCAATGGAATTTTGACATTAAGAAAGTTGGTATGAAGCAATAGCATCAGATGAAACATTTTCAGAGCACATGCCTCCCAGTTGCTCATGGTTTTGAACTCTTAGTCCCAAATATATCTGGTTTTCCATTATGATTCTGTGTCTGTGGTCACTTACATAATCTTGCATTAAAAAAAAAAAAATCCTGTCAATTAATAC